CCGTGCTCCCTGCTGTGCTAGCGGGACCCAGCACCGCTGCACCCTGGGCTTGTTTGTGGCTTAAATCTTCTCAGTGCTCTGAATTCTTCCCCCTGGAGACACGCTCTGTACTGTCCCCCGCCGATGATGGCATTGCCACTCTCATGCAAAAGCTTGTCTTCTGATCCTCTATCATGGAACATGACAGTTTTCTCTGTGACGGCGAATTAATTGTCGGAAATGGTTTGCTGGCAGACAGTTGGATGCTAATTGTGATTGGAACCTTTGGCGCCCTTAAACCCAAATCTGTTGATGTTTGTTGGTGGTGGTAGAAATGAAAAAACGTAAAATATGAAAGGAATTTTTTCTTTGGAACAACTGAAAGCAATGCAGATTATGCCAGGAAATTTTGATTGAGTTAACTATGAGCTAAGTTAAAACTACTCAACCCGTGATTGTGAGGAAAGGGATGGAAGAAGTGGTTAATTTATTGTTACTTTTTGGTAAAGAGAGGTTTGAGTTTGGATATTTCAATGCAAAGCAAAAAATTGGCATTGATTAAACTTGAGGTGACATTTGGGGAGGTGTTCTCAGAATGTCCAAGTTTGATTATCCAATTTGACTTCACACTGTGTCCCAGGTTTGTGAAATCTTTCTAGCAGGTTCCACTGGGAAGAATTATTTTCATTTAAATGGATCATGACCGCTGGAGAAAGAATCATGAAATGCACCTGTAGTGTGGGGTCATGTCGTGAACAAAGCTGCCCAGCTCACAGAGGGATGGTTTGGAAGTCAGCCTCTGCTAAAAGTGGCTTTGGGTATCATTTAATTCTTTCCCATCAACAGTTACATTAATGAGGTGTAGAGACGAAGGCAGGTGGGTCCTTCATGGAGGCCGTGTGACGCAAGAATGTGGATTCTGTCACTGGCTCTCATTGGGGGCAAACAAGAAGGAGGCCACTAGACCCTTGATCATTGGAAGGGGTGATAAGCCACTGGGAGATTGTCAAAAAGTAGGAAGGGGATCCAGTATTAGTGGGGAAAGCAGAAAAGTAGAGAAAAGAAGAACAAGGAAAGTTCCTCTCATTTCCTAGAGGTATGTGAATAAGCTGGCTTTCTTTAGCAGGGCTTATGATATGATACAGGCAATGTTCCAGCATACCTTCTAGAATAATCTTTAAGGAATAAGTAAACAAAAGGCACCCACTTTTCTTTTGAGATGCCATGGATTTTTTAAATAGGCTTTTTTCTCAAGGAAAGTTTAGGAATTCATAATTTGTTATTAAATTAGGTGGCTAATATAAAATAATATAAGAAATAAATTTTGTCTAACTGTTGCATCTCAGATAATCATCAGACAGACTGTCTTGCAGAAACATAAACTTCCCTTTAGATTTTACTTGGAAATGCAGCAGCACAGTGAGTCCCCACTCATGAACTGCTCTTAGCACAGCCTCATTTCTCAGGGAAAATTTACACATAGACAAAGACAGGTGCATAAAAATAAATTGCATTGTTCCATGGCAGAACAGGGTGTAGTTGAGGACACAGTTCTGTTATGACGGGTTATTTTAAAGTCCTTGAAATTTTTCTCCAATTATGCTTTGGGTTGAATTTCCTGATATTTTTTTCTTGCTTCCAAGGTACAAATGCAAGATAAGATGAAAGGGAAGTTTAAGGGAATTATATTTATTAAATCTCATTTCTCTTTGCCTCCTCCAACTTTTTCTTGATAATTTTAATTCTTGCCATGCAGCAATTCACTCACCTCAATTCTCCTTCTCATGAGCCAGGGAGGAAAGCCCTCTGTTTAAAGAGACTCAGAGCCTTCAGTCTGTCCTAGTTTGCTCAAGGGCGGCCGTGCCATAGCAGAGATCCACCTGGCACAGGTAGAGATTGGCAGTTTGGCTCTGTTGGGAGGGGTGAGGTGGGTGGGTGGCCAAGCCAACAGCATGAACACCTGGATTTGTTCATGAGTTTCCACGTTCACTTATTCACACCCTCCTTCACTCGCTAGCTGGTTCACAAAAACTTGCTGAGAGTTCGAGAGTGCCAGAAGCTATACCCATTGTGGGGAACAAAACATACCCCCCAGCCCAGGGGTTCAGTTCCAACTGTGCCTTGCAGCAGCTCTGTAGCATTCAACAGAGGCAGAGCACAGAGGAGCCAAATTAATACTACAGCCCAAGAGCTGTATTACCAGATGGGCTCATATCTGTTTTGAATGGACACAAGAATTACAACATTGCACTTCCTTGTTTTCAAAGATTGGAAAACCGCATACATCAGCAGTCTCATAGGTGGATGTCTCTGTGTTCCATCAACTCTGTTGGAGACCTTCTGAGTGACTCTGGGCAGAGTGATGCTGTCAATCTGAAAAGAGCCTGGACCGAGGCTCCCAGTAGGTTCGGAGCATATTTCTGGCACCAGCCACCTCTGCCACCTTGGCCAACTCACTTACCCCAGCCGAGCCCCAATTTCTCATCTGTAAAATTAGACATTTAAACAAAGTGAGTTTAGATCATCCTAAATTTTTTTAATCTATGCCTTTTTATTTTAATAGATAAAAACTAGTGATTTTAAGGTTTAATCCAGTGATTTTGTTACCAAAATGGGGAAGAAAACCCAACCAAAAACTTTTTTTTTTTTTACATTTCTGGCAAGATGAATGTCAAAAAATAGCGTTGGACATGGCACCACTCGACAAGCCATGCTGTGGTAGGCGTCCCACATATAAAGCAGACGAAGATGGTCACGGCTGTCAACTCAGGGCCAGTCTTCCACAGCAAAAGGAGGAGGATTTATGGCAGATGTTAGCTCGGGGCTAATCTTCCTCAAAAAAAAAAAAAGAGAGAAGACGAAAACTTAGTGATAAACCAAACTTCTCAGGGCTGTCCTTTAGAGCTAACTGGAGGATACCCCGCCCCTTTGTTTTTTCCTCTAAAAGTTCACATTTTTTATAAAACAACTCCAAAGTGAAAAATCCTGTGTCGTGTAAAATGATTAGTCATATTTGTGGTTAAGGACAAATACACGGTATCAAGAAACAAATGCCTTTTGTCCTTGTCTCATGTGGCTGTTTCTTAAATGCACAAAAATTTTGTATAGCATAGAGTAAAAAATGGAAAACTTTTTGCAATCAGTTGATTCTAACTACTAAGTGAAAATTGAAGCTGAGCTCATTTAGAGGAAGTTAAATTATGTGTTCAGTGAAGTCTTTAAGGTTTATATATTCAAAAAAATTAAGTATTGTGTTCAAAACATAAATTGATTATAATGTAAATCGAATCTACTGTGAAATGTGAGCATGTAAGTGTGCTAATACATGTGTGTACATGATGTGTTCTGATATGAAGAAAGCTTATTACTCCTTGATTTTATAATTTGTTGCTATTTTACAGAAAGTTAAAGCAAAATGGAAGTGTTGGAAGGATTTCCAGAACCATCCATCCTAACTTCTAGGATTGTGTTCTCCAAACTGCTAATTAATCTAGAGTCAGCTTCATATATTGAGATGTTTAATCAATTGGCAGATTGCTGTCAATAAATATGTGTCCTAAGTGGTCTGTAATAGACAGGCTAATGAAGTACCCTCTGTGAGTGTCAGAGCTATTGGGAAAAATCTCTCTCCCTTCTGGGCGTCTTGCCATACATTGTTAGTCTCCCCCTGATGCAGAGAAGAATGCCCTTCACTGTTGCCGATCTCACTTTTCGATGGAGTATTGGGAGAAGCAGAAAGTGAATTTCATTTTATACTCGCGGTTAGGTGGAAAAGGGCGTTACTGGTAATATTAATGGTATTAATAGTAACTAGTGTTTCTTGAGCAATTATTGCATGCCAGGCTCTGTGTTCATCGCTTTGATTTCGGTTACCTCGTTTAATCTTCTCGGCAACCCTGTGAGAAAGGGCACTGTTTCTCAAACCTCTCAGATCCTCTGTGTAACCCATATTTTTGTCCTGCCACTACAATCCTGAAATAGGTTTCGTAGGTGGCATAACCTGCTCCACGTGTAATTGTTTTTAAAAAGTCATTGTAATTCCCCAACTATAACATAGAGAGAAATAAAAGGAATACAGTCTGTTAGTGAGTGCGTTCGGTCTATAAACACTTGCTCCTGGCTACACCAGAGGATGGGGAGGAGTGGTCAGGTGTGTGCATCTGGGCGTGGAAGTCCTCTCTGGGAATTTGACAGCGCTCACTGCAGACTGACAGAGAGCAGAGGTGGTAGCTGCTCAGATGCTGTAAGTGGTCTCGATGTCAGTGATGCGATTTGCCAAAATGGGGAACAGTTCTTAGTGAAGCTCCAGAAACAGAAAAAACTACACTCCCACCTCGGGGAGTCCCACCCAGTGCAATTTGCACAAAAATTGCATTGCTGGAATATCCAGTACACATTGATACTGGACAGAAAATACTTTGTGTTCATACTTAAAGCAGGTTTAGGTTCTAGAGTTTCCATCTACATAAATGTTCAGTGGACACTGAGAGGTCCTGTATCCGGGAAAACCACTCGTAATGTTGCAGGCCTGGCCTGCATATCCAAAGACATGGCATCCCAAACTTTCATCCAGTAAATGCCCTTAGAGCCCCCAATCATTGGGACAACCACAGACACCCCAGCAGATTTCCAGCAATTCTGCAAGGGAGCATTGCCACCCATGAGGCAAGGGTACTGTGGTTTTCATCCCTATTTTCCACATGTGGCAACTGAAGCATCAGTAATTTGCCCAAAAGCACATAGCTAGGAAGTGGCAGAGCTGGGATTCAGACTGTTCCTTCTGACTCCAGAATCTCTGCATTTAACCCGCCGCTCCATCGTCCCCCGTGCATCGAGACAGGCCAGTCTCGCCACGTGGGAGCACGTGTGGGCCTCATGGGTCGTTTCTTAGAATTGTAATGTTACGAGGAAAAGGATTTATTGAAAACCCACTGCTTGTCATCTATGTCCAGGCGCTTTGCACACATTGTCTAACATTCACAACAACCCCACGATGTAATGTTTTTATTCTCTTTTCGCAGATCAGAAAGCTTGAGTCTGAGCCCCTTCCCCAAGGTCACCCGGCCTGTGAGGAGCAGAACTGGGTTTCACATCCCTTTTGACTTCAAAGGCAAGCTCCTGCTCCCACTCCTCAGAGCTATGATGGGCCCTCAGGAGGAGGGAGTGTGTATAACTTGTTGATAGCATTCACCCACCCCTTCTTGATTTTCTTCTACTTTCTCATTACCCGATAAGTAAGGTGCCTCAGTAATTTACTGGCCAAAAGAGGACACTCTTGAGAGTGAAAGCTGCCACTCTTAGACCAGCCCATGGATGTGGGTCACACGGTGATGCCGATTTCAGGGCCTTGAAGAAGGGAGCACTCACCAGTTTATCACTGGTGCTCATACGTGGAGCTAGAAGAGGACCACATGCTTCCCAGTCGGAACACACTGGGGACTCTGCTCTCACGGAACTCTGCCTTGCTACTCCCAATGGCTATGTGACCGTCTTGAAAGGGACAGTAACTTTTCTCGTTTGAGATCTTTTCCAGTTTAAAAATTCCGCACCCATGTCAAGAGGACATGACACTTGGACAGGCAAGCCTTGCATATTTCATCTCAGGGCATCATGAGAGTAGGCGGGGGACAGGCCTGGTGGGGACACACTGGACCCGTGGGGACAGAACCTCTTCATAGGTGATGACTGGGGGAAAGAATCTGCTGCCTGCATTGAGCATCGTCCTCTTTCCCTTAGAAGCAGGACCGTTCCTTCAACTTACGTCTAAAGCTTGTACTGAAGGAGTACGAGTGACTAATTCTGCCTGAATTTCCCCAAGCTCCTGCGCTTATCTTTGTTTATTATATTAATAAATATTATGCAACTAATGTTCCCATCTGGCAGGGCTGAGAAAAGAGCATAAAAATGAAGTTGTGGTTGCATCTCTTAAATACTAATGAAGGTGATACGTACTTGGCATGGTAGAAAGGTGGGTCTTCATTTTAGAGTTCTTAATTAAGAACTGCCAAGTGACTAATATTAATTAGGAAGCCAGCTGTATCCTTCAGTTTCGTGGTATATTTCTTCTTACAAACCTGTGAAGGGAGTAAGTCAGAGCCTCTTTTAATCAATCAGCGCATGAGCAATTGTCTGTTAAGTATACTTTGTGTGTACGGGACCAGGCTGTGCGGACAGAGATTTATAAGATACTGTCTTTGCCTTGAGGATCCCCATCTAACTGAGGAGTATGTACCAACAGAGAGACCCAGTATTTCAGGACACTGAAGTAAAAGATCCTCTGAATCATATCGGTGGCATAAGGGGAGTATGGCAGTGTGGTGGGAGGGAGCTTTTCCAAACTATGCAGGGGCCTTCCCTCTCCCAGGGTCACAGGAGCCTGCCAGTGTAAGTGATGGAGGGGTATTATATCCCCAGGTGTGGTGGGGTAGACAGAAGAAGGTTGAGGACCACCCAACAAACTGGAGAGTTGGAGTTCAAAGGAAAGAACGATGCTCATGGGCAGAAATAGTCAAGATGACTACAGCTGGGCTCTAAAGTGGAGGGACAAGATTTCCAATGGGTGCGGAGCCATGGGCAGCCCACAGAGGTGGAAGGAAGGGAGCAGGCCAACTGGAAGTCATGGACATCACCGTGGTATGTCACCTTCAGCTCTTCACTGCTGAGTCTCTCCACCAGCTGTTGCATCAATAATTCTCTTGGCGCTGTTCATGCCTCCACATGCATATATTTGAACACGGGAATATTTCCTGAATGTTTTTTGTGCTGTACACAATGCAGTGCGCACATATAGCATGTACTTTTAAGTTTGATCTGCTTTAGTAACATATCCTTGATCACTTTCTTAAGTCTGGATATGCAACAATACCATATATCAACCCATGATTTGTAGCGTTTTCCAGTTTCCCTGGTGTAAACCCTCTACCATGGCCATTTTAAAACTGCCCGCATGATGTCATTGAACACCGTGTTAGGAATAGTTACCAGTGGTATATATACCATTATATTCTGTTCCTGGCATACTGATGCAGTGGATGCAAATAACCTCAGGAACATAGAAAATAAAAAAATGTGTAATGATAAGAAAGTGAGAAGCTTTTATATGTATCTTTTGAACAGGTTATTGCAGGGATAATTGACTCAAAATAAACTGTACCTACTTAAAATGTAAAAAAAAAAAAAAAGAAAAAGCTCAAACGTGGCCTCCTACACGGACTTAGTACCCTGAGCTAGAGGTGGGGGGAGTGGTTGAAGCAGAAACTCTGTCCACGGTGTATTCCTGGCATGATCACTCAGCTTCTTAATAAAATTATGCCTAGAATGAAGGGCTTAAGATGAAGCACCTCAAAATCCCTGTCCATTTTCCAACTTTCTAAGTCTCCTTTGACATTGATGTGTTAATATCCACTGAATTCTATTTCCTTCAATCACTAGCAATTGAAGAAGGATTATATGAGATTCAGTTGGAATGTACTGTCTTTCAACTTTGCCTTACATAGAGTGTTAATTTTCGCAGGGTTTTTTTTTTAGCTCGAATTGTAGTCCAATTTGCAGTTCTCTCTTAATTTCATACCTAGAAACTGAGATTTCTGAGTCATATCTGTAGATGGACAAAATTGCCTGGCCAGTGCTGTGGGTCTTCTCATGCAGGAGCCTTGAGCCCTCAAATCTGCAGCTCTCCATGCTCCTTCACAGACGTTCTTGAGTAGTTAGTATTTCTTCCAGATGATCCTCAAGGATCCTTAACTTCAAGCCTGAGAAGTGGTCATTCACAAGGTCATTCACATCTAAGTCTAAATCTGAGGGAGCTGAGTTTGATGAGCTTTTCTCCCCTCAAACTCTGCCACTGAACTCTTTCTTTTCACATCTGTGCCACTTGAGTGCTAATTCTCGTGCAGGTTACACCTGTGTGTGTATGGCAACCCTCTCTAGCCCTGGTGTATAAACAACCTTTTTCAAGAAATCCAGACATCCAGAGCAATCTTCTTCCCAGCTAAGAAATGTTTTCCCTGAGCACTTCGGAAACCTATCTGTTGCTTAAGATGAGGTCCTGATCAGTGGCCACCTTTGGAATGCTGCCCTTTGCTGTGGTCCTGCAATCCTTGAATATTACCACAAGCACAGTTCCCTTCAGAGAAAAAGAAACCTTAGAAATAGAGGATCTGTGCTTTTCGTTTTGTAACTTGGAGAATGCTAACCTCATGTACCAGCCTTTTATTGAATTTAAATGGCTACATGTGAATGGTATATTTACAAAAAATAAGTACAGAAAGTTAGGAGAATGATTTTGCTATATCCAGTAGCACTTACCTTGTTATAAGGTTTAATATTTTCCCTTAAATCAACTCACATGCTTAAATTTATTTTTAAGAGAAACTGTGTAGCAGTATTCTAGATGGTAAATTGACATCACGTGCAGTTAATAGAAATACACAGGTAGTAATTAGAATGTAAAGTGTGCTTCAGTATACATGGAGTCATCTCACAGAACACCTCCGTGAGACATCACTTAGGGGAGATGTTACGTTGGTGGGGGCTTAGACAGGATGAGGGAAACAGACCCATTTCTCTCTGGCTTTAACATCCAATACGGACTTCAGGTTTAATTTTACTTGTAAGTTTTGTTTACAACAGAATTTTTCAAACTCAACACTATTGACCTTTGGGGCTAGATAAGTCCTTGTTGGAGACTATCCTGTGCACTCTAGGATGTTTAGCAGCATCCTTGGCCTCTAACTATTAGATGCCCGTAGCCCCTCCCCAGGTATGACAACCAACGTTATTTCTAGACCTTGCCGAATGGCCCGTGACAGAGGGGAAATGGTGCCTGATTGAGATCCACTGTGTTATACACAAGTTGTTATGTTGCTTTTATTATCCTTGTTGTCTTAAATTGTTACTTTGTTAAGTAGGCGTATTTAAAAGATGCTCGTACTTTTTGAGACCATGTTGTAGCATCTTTGTGAGCATGCCTTTAACTCCCCTACTTCCATAGTGGAAGTGGGCCTGACCTCCCCTGGTACCTGCTGGGGCACACCTAGTCCCTTCACCATAGAGGCGAGGTAAGTCTCCCCACTGGCTGTCAGTTCCCAAAGGCCTCTCCTTCGTAAATGAAAGACCAGGTCTTCCCTTCCTTCCTCATATGTTTCTGGCTTATATAGAAATATGCTTCATTTTAAGACAATCCAGTGAAAAATGATTTCTTGTGTTATCCCCTCTTTACAAAAACAGAGGCCTACATTTTTGCGAGATATTAATTTAAATGTATTATCTCTTTTAGCTCCCACAAATGTCTAATGATGCTGATTAGTATCATTTGTCCTTGTTTTTTTCAATGAAACTGAAGCTTAGATAGGTTAAATGACTTGTCCCAAACCACACAGCTAAAGTGGCTTTTCTGTCAAAGAAGAATGTTGGAAGCAGTCTGTCCCCAAACAAAGAAATATTTGCATTAATTATGAAATGCAGTATGAATTCACAGGTAGCCTGTCGATAATTGTGATGATGATTATGTGGTAGATACTGATGCTATGACTTTTGTAAATTATAAACCTAGCTATAAAATTATAAACTGATTATTACTGTTTAAAAAAATGCTTCAGATTTAAACCTGAAAGAAATTTGCCAAAATACTAATAGAAATTATGTTGAACTAGGAGACTTCTGGCAGTTTTCTTTTTTAACCCTCTTCTGAATTTCTAAATAGGTTGTAATATATTTCTATTTCTTTGAAAAAATTGAAATTTATAAGTTAAAAATGAAGAAAGATATAGTTTGGATTACTGCCAAAGTTCTTTTTTCTCTATAATTCTAGCTAAGAAATGTCCGTATTCTGCACATGTACAGATGTTCATGTGTCCATATGTCTGGAGTCAGCCATCTTTCAGAGTTGATTTGCTGTACCTTGGGGCAAAGGGCTGGCCTGCCATGTCTGGTTGAAGGAGAGAAACACACAGGATACTTCCTTGGGGTACCCAGCCAAAACAACATGTACTGATGGAAGCAGGCAGTAGGTCAGCTCCCTATCTTTATTGTTGTTGTTTTTTAATATGAATGCCTCTGGGATGAGATTGAACCTTCAACCAAAAAAATGTCACGGAACTTGCTGCATGCCTAGATTGATTCATTCTTGGTGACAGTAGTTACAGTCACGCGTCACTTAACGACAGGGACACATTCTGAGAAATGCATCATTAGGCGATTTCGTTGTTGTGAGAGTTTACTTACACAAACCTAGATGGTATAGCTACTAAACACTTCGGCCATATGGTGTACTAATCTTATGGGCCCACCATCATCTAGGCGGTCTGTCGTTGACCGAAATATCATTACTCGGAGCACGACTATATTCATGTTGCTGTCACGGAGGAGTTATTGACAGTGAACTAAGTCACTATCAGCTTTTACACTCATGAAGACTCATAACTGTAACGTAACAAATTGACAAGACTGTGAAGTGAAAACATGACGTACTCTGTTACAAAGAAAAGTAGATACTTACTTGCTGGCAGAATGCCTAGAACATTTTTAACTACATGAGTGTTATCTCAAATGATATTTTTATTTAAACATCCTTCCATCTATATCTTTCCATTCACTTTTAATTTCTTAGTACTTCATAGTAGACAAATGTGCTTTGAGTGGAGTATTTTGGTAACAGTTGTGAACCTTGTGTTCAAGGAGAATCGTTTTCAGGTGCTGAGTACCTGACATTTCATCCTCATGACCACTATATTAGGTGGCAGAGAGAATGCCCATTTTAAATATGAGTAAACTGAGGTTCAAACAGATTAAGGATGCTCACTTCTGTGGTTCTATACGGTGATATATTCCTGAGTGATTCCTCTTGAATATAGGGTAAGTCTATTGTTCCATTCCGAAGGAGCTCTCTTTTTGGCTTCTGGTGTGTATAATTAATCTTGTCAAATTTCTTGATTTAATATCTACTAAAATTTTCTGTTGCTTTTTGCTTTTTTACTGTTTTCATGTGCTACTCTTAATTTGAAATTGTGATTTTGGTTAATTACCTACCCAGCATGATTATTTCCCTTAAGTACAGGAGAATGTGGTTTGCCAGTTCTGTCTTTCTTGTTCATAATGTTAGGCTGCGTACAGTTCATCTTAACATTAAAGGAATCATCCTCCTTGCCTGTATTCTGGGCTCTTTCTTCTGGCCTTGATTCTGTGCCCACCTTTCCCACAAGTATGAAATTCCCAAGGAATATGACCTGATCTGGACTCGTTTCCTGTGTGTTTACCATACACATGATCTTCACATCCATCAATAGATAGTCTTCTGTACTCACCAGAAGCACTGTGTCATGTCTGGAAAAAAAAATTTTTAATGTTGCTTTTAAGAAGCTGTAGACATTTTAATAAAAATTTCTTCTCAGCTTTTCTCTGATGTGTATCAGGAGAAAACTACAGTAACAGAGAACATGGCATTATTGCAGCTTGCCTGTCTGAATACATTTCAGTTCATTGAGCTAGATTTCCCTGAAAAGGGAGTATTCCCAGCCAAGTCTGGTCTAAAAAGATACCCAGGGTGGTGAGCCCAGATCTTTGGTGCCTGCAGGTGCTATTTTCTTATCCTTAATATTTTAAATTATTCTCTGGCACCATGGCAGACAGGATCAAAGCTAATGGCCTGATGAAAAGTGGCGATGCCCAGTGACAGATGGAGATGGGCTGAAGCCTCATACCCAGTAAGAGTGGTAAAGCCTCCAAGTGTTCATGGCCAAGAGTTCAACCCAGGCTGTCTCCAAGCCTTTGGTGACCTCTGCAGTGTGGCAGTGGCATAGTCTCTCTGAGGGCTCACAACCTACTTACAAGCAATTCCAAGAGCACTGAGCACAGAGGCATATGGAAATTCCACTCTCAAGCTTAATATACACCATGCAAAATGAATTTTTCATATTGGGTTTTAAAAAATGGCAACATTCCAGCTTTCCCTCGCTGGTGTGCCTTTTGGAATTAGTGCCGTTTAAAGCAGCCGGAGGGGGGAATGACTGTAATGTAAGCACGGCAGTGTTTGCAAGTGAGAGCTGCGTGAGGTGATGATGATTTTGGAAACATTATTCTGGGTGTGGAATTGAGCAAAGCGTCATTACTAAAGGAAAAAGTATCTAGAGACACGTTGTTAATGCTCTCTCGGATTTGGGCCTGGAGAACCATACTGTGAGTTGAATGGAAGATAGATAGAGAGAAAAATAGCAAATTAAGGGGACAAATAACCAGAGAGAAGAGGGGGTGCCCACTGGCATTGGCAGAGGAGAACGTATAACCAGCATCTGATGCATTTCCTTAAGAATCAGTGTGTTTGCAAATTGCTCCGTTGCATCTTAGCAGAATCTAATCTGAGTAACGAAGAGCTGACTAGCGAACATGGTTGGATGAATTCCCTCAGTACTCCTGAAATATAACAGAGCAAGGAACAGTGTAATGAAAAATAACAGAGAGAGTAGCTAGGGGCTTAACTTATGATCAGTGTTCATTACAACAAATGACATTTTCACTGCAGAGTTACCATAAAGATTATTGACTCTTACGTAATGTAGTTCCCATCTGAATAGACTTGAGAACAGCTTAGCCTATGAATGGGAGAGCTGAAGCAAGTGGAGGACTGAAGATGTACTCAATACCCTTATTTGTTTTTTCAATTAGTGAAATTTCAATTAGTGAGCCACCCATTCAGAACCATGGACAGAGCAAGAGAGACTGAACCTTCTTCCAGGAAGACTCTCCATCATTATCTTCGGCATTGACTAGCATGGTTATGTGTTCCGTTCAGTGAAGACCAGGCTTACAAATGGACTAAACTTATTGGTAGTTTTATATCCAAGGCTCACTCCTTATGTTCTCTGCCATTTGATATTTTCCTCAAGTATATACATGTTACAACATTTTTAAAAAAATGTATCTCTTTGGAAAGAAACTGTGTTTTGTGGAAAACTTTGGGCATCCAACCGTAAGGCGTTTTGCCCCTCTGGGGCTTCAACCAAGTTTAGAATAGACAACCCCAGTTCTGAGCACAGTGTGTAATAGCCTTGGTTTATTGAGCATCTGTTTGGTACCTGCTAAGCACTTTATGTTATTTCATCCTCCCACCAACCCTGTGAGGTATGTCCTCTTATTATCCAGCCCATTTTCCAGATGAGAAAGCACACTCAGAGAGGTTCGGTAACTTCTCCAAGATTGCCGAGCTGCCAGTTATTAGAGGTGAACTTCAAAACCTGGTCTCTCTAACAGTCTACCAGACATTTTTACTTGCAGACAGGTACTGAGCATAGAGAGAGAGTCTTTCTCTCCCGCTCTCCCTCTCTCTCTCTCTCTCTCTCTCTCTCTCTCACTCACACACACACACACACACGCCAAAAGCAGGCTGGATTTTTGAAATCAGGGCTTGGACCTGATTTCTTTTCCATTTGATATGAGATCCTACAAAAGTGACTTAACCTCTTTTACAAGTGGTTGTGATGAAGAAATGTCTCAAGTTTAATGTGCGGCCAGACACAGTGACAGACCCTTTACGTGATTTCCTCGTTCAGTCCTCACCACCGAACACAGTAGGTTCAAGTATAATTCCTGTGTTAAGAAAACAGAGGCTCAGAGTAGGCCAGGCTGCACAGCTGGTCAGTCTGTCCAGAACCCTTCTGTTCAACTGGACTTCACGAACCAGACCAGCCTTGCTCGTTGTGGGCCGTTTCAAAGCCCACTCTGCAAAGTGTCCCCCCACAAGAGAGGCTCACCATTGATATCAACCAGAGGTGAAGGTGGCAGCCCTCATTGCATGGGCGATGCAAGCAGAGCAAGGGAACCCAAAGAGGCTCGCGGGTTAGGGGCTATGTCATTGCAGGGAAAGCAGCAGTGGAGTTTGGAACAGGTGAGTAGAACGATGAGGACGTCTGTGGGAGCTCCGCAGTAGATGACTCTTTGGATCTCCAGCTTCCTTTAGTTTTCAATTTTGTCTTTCTGAGTTTTATGGAAAAAATACCTCAACAAGGAATGGGAACTTTAAAAATACTCTTGGCGCTGATACAGCCAGCATATTTAATATTTGTCCTCTTCTCTCTTCTGAGCACCTTGTTCTTTCTCTCCTTTATAAAAGCCTGATTGTGATGTCTCGCCTCAGGGCCACCTGCAGTGGGCTTCTGTCGACCTCCCTGCAGCCCACCCCCAGGTCTCGCTGGCCCAGAGATCAGAGATGGGCAGGGAGATGGGGCAGCAGGAAGTGCCAGAAGCTAGATTTAGTATTTGCCATTTCAGAAGGAGCAGACCTGGTGAGGAAGTCCAGCTTGCCTAGGAAATGGCAAAACTCAGGAATAACGTGGCCTCTAGCGGCTGCTGCTTGAGCGCCTCCTAGTTCAGGCCTCCCAGATGGTGCTCTGGCCAGTGCCGGTTGATGACTTTTGCCTTTTACAGTTGTTTTATGTTTTCTTCCTTTTTGGGAAGAGAGGGACTAACTATACTTCCCTCCACCCAAGCAGTCTTCATGGGCTTCAGGAGTTATTTCTTTTGGCCCTTTACAGGCTCATCCTCAGAACTATTACAAATGACTAAAGATATTGAGAGAACCTTTAGGTAAGTGAGATTACTTAGAAAAAAAAATAGAGTGTGTTTGTGAATCTGTGTGTATATATATCCTTCCTTTTTCTAAAGCACTGAAAGTAACCAAATGCCAAGAAAGGATCCATCAACTTTCAAAATTCCTTTCATCTAAGTCCAAGAAGATGGGGCATTGTACCATATTCACATGGTCTCTGTCTGTGCTGTTCAATCTGGTAACCGCTAACCACATGCAGCTCCTGAGCTCTTGATTATAGCTTATCTGATTGGATGTGCTGTAAGAGTGGAATACTCACCAGATTCCAAAGACATAGTACAAAAATTGTCATTAGATGTATATGATAAATATACTAAGTCATTTATAATTTAACGATAAAATAGGTCAATCATTTGTATTTGATTACATGTTAAAATTATTATATTTTGGATATATTGGGTTAAATAAAATATATAATTAAAATTGACTTTATCTGTTTCTTTTTACTTTTTTAATGTAGCTCCTAGAAAATTTAAAGTTACATTTGTTGATCTCATATTTTGGACAGAGCTATTCTATACATATGTGAAAGTATGGAATATGTCTCTACAAATTAGAAGTACTAATATGTGTTTAAAAATAAGATTTAAAAAATAACTTCCTGAAATATGTATGAGGGGGAAAATGAACTCCCTGTAGGTATTCAATATAGCAGGTACGACTGACTAAGAGAGCCTTGTTTTACCATTCTGGGGAAAATAGCAATTTTGATTAATAGCTATTCAGGGGAGAGTATTTTTCCATGAAAACATAGGTCAGCTTGAGTCCATCGTTACAGAACATGGTTTGTTAATATTTGAATAACTGTCATGCATGCATTCCCTTTGTGATTTTTCACCCAAGTGTCATCGCATTGGCCGCATCATGGCCACACCCACTCGATGTACTGGAAACCATGACTACAGAGCAGCCCCAGGTGGTGGTCCACAGATGCCCTGGTCCTCTGGCATCTCCACTGCATGCTTCTACTTTTGTTTCACATTTACCATCTGTGTCTAGGATGCTCTGACACCTTCCAGGAGTGTTTTGTGGGTGAGATTCCTGGATGAAACACTTGAGATTCTTGGATGAAAAGGTCTGTTGTGACAAGCGTTAGCTCTTCTCTCCTCACCCACGGCCACACGTTTGCTGAGTCTACAGGTCTCTGTTGGGGACAACAAACAACTAAAGCCTGAGCCCCCAGGGAGAGTCCATCCTCCTGTTGACGCATTCCCATGGTTCCCACCCAGACATATTGCTGATGCATGGAACCCTCTGCTAGACTGTTTTTAACATCAAGCATAACCCACAAACATCTTAGTTCTTAACCTTTTTGCACTGAAAGACCATAAATTTCTCTGGGATTCTTAAAAATCTGATTAAAAAAAACTCAGAGGAAATGGGATGACATATATTAAATCTGCTGAATATATCAGAGCTAAAAATATTTTTTAAATCTTCCATGTCTCTTCGGAGTATGTCATCTTACGCAAAACATGAAAATGAAACTAGAAGAAAGATGGGATCCAAAGACTCGTCTACTGTTAAGCTCTCATACGTGTCTTCTCTGTTATTCTTTTGACAATTGTTGGCTTGTTCCCAAGTACCACTGTTCCTTTGCCTACCTAAAGCTGATCTCTGCCCCCTCTGCCAGCCTCCCCTTACCACTGGTCAGTAATTCCAAGATTGGGGTCAGGAATGGAGGAAAAGCACAGATCATCTTGCCATGCCATGTTCCAGAGTTGGGGTTTGCCGCTTGAGAGAGAGCCCAGCTTACGTGAGGGAATTCAGCTTTGCCAGGGAAGTGGCCTAAGGGAATGAATCAAGTTTAGCTGTCTCTAGCTGCTGCTTCCTGAAGTCCACCTGGTGAGAGCCTCATGGCTAAAACACTGTTTGGAAAAGTCCACCCGTAGGTAGATGGATGCTCTCTTGATTTTGATTCCTAAGGTTTGTTTTAAAAAAATTTTTTTTTATCTCCTTGCTCTGTCTGTAAGTGGAACATGACTCACCTTATAGAAAATCCATGGACGGGGAGGAGGGGCAAATGATACATTGCTGGCTAAAATCTCAGGCATCATGCTGTAATCTGACCAGAGCACGGGGGCCACCTTAGAGATGTGAGCCCTTTAAGGTTCCATTTAACATGATTTTGCTTAAGGGTTAAATGAGTTAATAAAAGGACAGCACTATACAAGTTTCATATATAACATGCGCGAGTTCCATTCAAATGCCCATCTCTGAGCAGGTTGAAGCCTTTGCCTGGAGCACTTGATCTGAGTGGGTTCTGGGTGTAGTCTGATAAGCGCCCAGTCGATGTGTGAGGGGGTGCAGCAGGGTGCGTGCTAGTTACCACTGCTGTTTAAGTCCAAACACCCCACTCTCTATCTAGGGAAACACAGATCACCCAATTAGTGGATTTATTCCAAAGCGTTCCTAGTTCCAGTTCAGTGTTACTTGCTCTGCACTCTGGAACTTATAGGCTTATACTTAAATTTAAAGAGCTGTCTAGCTTTCTGGTGACCTGACCATGGGTCTCCTGCCATGGTCAAATCATCAAGTCACCTGAGCTCGAGAAACAGAGAGAGAGGAACAGTCTCAGGAACAGAGAGTCCAAATTGTGAGCCTCAAAGAGGAGGAGAAATAGTAGTAGCAATCCCTCTATATATGCTTTTACTGTTTGTCCTTACAATAAAACCAAAACAAAGGAAAAGCAGAGGCGTCTGTGTTTAGACACTGGGCTTCCTGGTCCTGTGACACTAGCTCTGTATTTGTAATATTATTTATATCTAGAGCCACGGGACAAGTGTGCACCCTACATGGTTTTGTTCATGTGATATTGCTTAAGGTTGAAATGAATGAATGTCTAGAAAATGCCATAGAAACTTCCTGTGTCAGGGCTCATGTGTAGTAAGAGCTGCATGAGTTTTGCTGTTGTCATCACCAGCTCGACAACTTCAGAGGTCGTGAACAATGCTGAGCCATTCGCGAAGGACCCATGTGTGACCAGAAAGACTCTTATCTTTCCATGATAATAAAAATTCATTCTGATTTTTAATTTGTCTAAAGGAAAGGATTTAAAAAACCCACTATTTTCCTAGTGTTCATTTTAACTTAATTCCCTTTTATAAACAATTACTATCTTCAGCTTTACTCATATCAGAGGTAATTAATGTTCAATAAAAAACCCATTGCACTTAAAGGAATTTAATGGAAACCCCTGGTCACAGTACTAGGAAAGAGAATTTCCACATGAAGATGATGGACTGGGCTCCCAGTGGCCTCAACATGCTGCCATGGTGCGTTTACTACCCAGTCTCACCCTGAGAAGTCCTGCAGAAACTGAGGAAAACACTTAAGAAACTGATGTAGGAACCAGAATTCCGTAACAAGATAACTGCCTCCAAAGACTATAAGACTTGCCTTGGCCTGCGTAGCATGTCTTCTTTCAGTACACAGCTCTAAATGGGAAGCTGATGTATAATCACTTGAAGGGCGTGGAATTGAGGACATTGGAAAATGTTTCTTGCCTAAGATATTCTTTTAATTCACCAATCAATATTTATTGGGTGACTAGTGTTTGGCTGGCCCTGGAGAAACAAAATGATGCAGACAGTCCCTGTTCCAGTTGGGAAGACGTTCATGTAGTCAGATACTCTTAGTACATCCTAGTAGGTGCAATGATGTCTGCTTTCATTCACTCAGTCAACAAACCTTCATTGTGTGCCCATGGCACACCAGTCACAGAGGATACTAAATAAGACAGACAAGGTTCCTGCTCTGAGTTAGTCTTCTGTTAAGGGAGGCAGGAAACAATGAGTTAACTCTGTTAACAATAAGTAATCAAATAAACAAACTAATTATATTGTGACTATTGGTGTGAAGGAAATGAATGTGGTCAAAGATGGATAATGTGGGCAAAAAGGACCTCTCTTAGAAATTCACATTTGAAGTAGACCAGAGGGATGTGTTGCTCAGGACTCAGCATTCCTTTGATTACAGGGAACACAAAGCCTAAGAGGAGGAGGGATTATTTGGTTATTTTATATAAAAATAATCTAACAATACAGTAGACTTCAGGCATGGCGTGATGTCGGGGTTCAGTGTCGTTGGACCCCATCTCTCTCCCCCTCTCAGTTCTGCTTTGTCTGGGCTGGGCTGGTGTCTCTCCAAGGCTGGCTCTCTTCACAAGATGTCAACATGGCTGGCAGCAGATCTAGGCTCCTAATTCAAGTAAAACAGGAAAGAAAGAACTTTTCTTCCCAACAGTCTGAGCTGAGGTCTTAGGTCTTTCTCTAGTTGGCTTAAAGTGGCCACAGGCTTGTGTATGAACTAGTTACTGTGCCCAGGGCAAAGGGAGGGGGTTGAGACTGAGTCTTGTTTTGACACTAAAACTGGGTCAGCATAGCCATTCACATCGAAGCTATTTAAGCTCTCGTGCGTCCTTACCCTCACCCGTAAGACGGAGGTGGTAATAGTGCCTGTCTCAGGGAGACCTGGAGAAGAACATTCCAGGCAGAGTGGATAGCAAGGTCAAACCTCAGAAATAGGCAGGGGCCTGGCTTGTCTACACCCTGTGCTGGGGATTGGGGACGTGGAGGGTGGTACCAGAAGGCCGGACCACACAGTGGTGGCGCCATGTTTGTTTTCTCTGCTTCCTCTGAGAGACGTAGCCCTGTCGGGCCTGCATAGAACTCACAGCCTGGGTCCTCACCGCCCCTCTCTGCAGGGTGCCCACTGCCACCGTCACCCACTGTTTGCCTTGCTGGCCAACAGCAACACTCTTCTGATGGACAATTCTCTCTCCAGCTTTGCTAGTACCCCTGGTCTGGTTCCAGTCAAGTCTCACTGCCTCAGAGTTGTGCTGGTGTAATTTGGGGTGACTCTTCATGTTTCTGCTTTAATCTATTTTGTGTTGATATTTAACACGGAAAAGACATTCTTATTGCCTTTAAATTCAAGTTTTAGGGTAATGCCTCACTGTTACCCCAACTCGTAATCTCTGCAGCCAAGTCCCTTTGGCAGGATG